TGATGGTTCTTGTGATGGTTCTGTGATGGTTCTTGTGATGGTTCTTGTGATGGTTCTAATGATGGTTCTTATGATGGTTCTTATAATGGTTCTTATGATGGTTCTTGTGATGGTTCTTGTGATGGTTCTTGTGATGTTGTTCTTGTGATGTTCTTGTGATGGTTATTATGATGGTTCTTATGATGGTTCTTGTGATGGTTCTTATGATGGTTCTTGTGATTCTTGTGATGGTTCTTGTGATGTGATGGTTCTTGTCATGGTTCTTATGATGGTTCTTATGATTCTTGTGATGGTTCTTATGATGGTTCTTGTGATGGTTCTTATGATGGTTCTTGTGATGGTTCTTATGATGGTTCTTATAATGGTTCTTGTGATGGTTCTAGTGATGGTTCTTGTGATGGTTCTTGTGATGGTTCTTGTGATGGTTCTAATGATGGTTCTTATGATGGTTCTTATAATGGTTCTTATAATGGTTCTTGTGATGGTTCTTGTGATGGTTCTTATGATGGTTCTTGTGATGGTTCTTGTGATGGTTCTTGTGATGTGATGGTTCTTGTCATGGTTCTTATGATGGTTCTTATGATGGTTCTTATGATGGTTCTTGTGATGGTTCTTATGATGGTTCTTATGATGGTTCTTGTGATGGTTCTTATAATGTGATGGTTCTTATGATGGTTCTTATGATGGTTCTTATGATGGTTCTTGTCATGGTTCTTATGATGGTTCTTATGATGGTTCTTGTGATGGTTCTTGTGATGGTTCTTATGATGGTTCTTGTGATGGTCGGGTTCTATATGTCTGTTGTGTATCGTGCACTTTGGGTTCTTTTCTGTTGAATTGTATTTAATTATTTTTTAGTATTTTGCATTTGTTATGTTCTTCTGTGTTTGGTTTAGTTTGATTTGTTCTTGTTTTTGCTGTTTGTTGAAGCACTTTGTAAACCTGTGTTTTTAAATAAAGTTATTATTATTATTATGTCTGAGGATGCAGTGTGACTGTGAGGCTCCAGTGATCGACAACTCTGTGTCCAATTTCTAATCCTGAACACAATCTGAATGTTGCTGTGATTATTCTGTGCTGGGATATACATCTGCATCGATTCAAACGCTGTCAGGGAGGAATACAAAAAGTGGAACACCCTTATTGTGCTTTTTTTTTTGTGTTCAATCTTCCAGCCGTGTCATTTCAAACCGCTGTTAACGTCCATGTGAGACATTTAGGGTTTCATGCATCGAGCTGACGTTTTTTCATATCAGTCTGCCTCACTGCCCTGTGGATATTTTGCTTCATATGGTGATAAAAAAAAAACAATGAGGAAATTAGACGATCACCTGGAGCTTTTTCAATCTGCTGTTATTATTATTTGTGAGTGACAGCTCATGCACCTCAAAGTTTGTGATGTGAAAGGATAAAAAGCAAACATGCACAGCTTTGTGTACACACCTTTGTCTTCTTCTTCATCTTTCTCTTTCGGGTTGTCGGTGTCTTTTTCCTCGTCTTTTTTGTCTTTCTCGTCTTTTTTGTTATCGCTGTCGGCCCCTGCGTCTTCCTCTTTGTCCTGGTTCTCGGTGTCATCATTATCCTTTCCTTGAGTGGGATCCGGGGTTTCTGTGATATCATCTGCAGCCACAAATAAAAAGAAAAGGTACATGTTGAAGATTTTTTTAAAGGCACAATAAGTTCCACATATATATCAGAATTCAAGGAACTATCAAATTGGAACGCATCATAATCAAGCGCTAAGCGGCTTGTCTCGAGCTGCATTGTTGTGTTAGCATGCTAATGTTAGCGCTCTTTAGTTAGCTCGTAGCTTCACATTTCATGTAAACTGACACAGAATGAGCGTGATCTAAAAACTCTTACTAACATCCAAATAATCAGTGAGTATGTTCTTCTTCTTCTCTCTAGTTCTTGACTAAAACAGCTTTTATACACAAGGGGAGGAGCCGGCCGTCCCGTCCATGTAAACACGGCTCTGACAACAACACAGCCAGCGGGACTCGAGCTTCTCCCTCATTGTAGACAGTCAGGACTCAGAGACACATTTACACAGGACAGACTTTATGATTTATTTATGTGGAACATGTCGATCATTCTTCCTTTAAACACAAACCAGTCGTAGCAGGAAAGGAGGAAACATAATTTTTCAGTGGTCTGTTAAGATGTCCAGAGCTTTATCTTAAAGTAACCAAAGATACATAATTGAGCAACATATTGATTTGTGGTTGGTAGTTTCACCTGCAATAAACACACACACACACACACCTACACACACACTGACAAGAATGATGCAATGCCTCTGAATTGGCCTGCGGGTGTTGTTTCAAACTGTATATCCTCGCTCCTCCTCGCTCCTGCCTCTTTGTTTGTGTCTCTTGAGAAAGTAATTACAAAAATCTCAGGTCTTGGACAGCATCCCGGGGCTGCTTTACCATAACTCTTGCATAGAATATCTACAAAAATTCATGTTCAGAGAGGCTCTATCTGTCAAATCTCAGTCAATGGGATGGGATTTGAATAAAACAAAAACAGAACGAGAGGCGAGGCGAGGTGCTGCTCGCTGCCAGTATGCAAATGCTGAATCTTAATTATAGAGCAAGCAGAAGCAGCGACGAAACGTATTTGGAGAAAAGAAATTGTGCAAGCTCAAAGTTAATGGTCGCCCCTTTTGTAACACGCACACACACACAATCACACTCACACACACTTAATTCACTTAAGACTGTTGCTGTCAGCACAACAAAAACCCATCAGTGTCTCAGGGTCTGTTTCCTGCAGCCTGTGAGCCACAAAGATTTAGAGCTTTGTGTACGAGTCATTCCTCTGCTGCTAACAGGACTGATCAAGTTAGATTTTTTAATCAAACTCTGAGATCGAGTGAAAAGCAGAGAAATGAGCCGCACACGGGTCAGCTCATACTATTCCTATCTCCCGCAGAGATAAGAGTCAAGATCAATGTGTAGCTCCTTCCTTCTCCAGGAGTATCCGCACACACTCTCACTAACACACAATCACACCTCGATCCATGCTGGAGCCTGGACTTGTAGCTCTACTATACCTGGGTTTTGACTCTCCATCTCCACGTCTTCATTTCCCGCAGCATCTAGAAACAGAAGAGGAAGAGGAAAACAATCGAGTTTAGTGCTGTTGCCTGGTGGGGGAAATGACTTGGTTTTCGATATCACCTCAAACAGCCTTTTCAGTCCCTTCGCTTTGTGGAGCTTTTAGTCTTTGTACCGCAGTGTGAGAGCAATGGAACCACAAAGACATGCATAAATTAAGTGACAGAAAAAGAAGGGGAAAAAAAGGATGTCACTTCTAAAGGCATGCATAATTGAGGGATTTCTTTGTTCCGAGTGTGTGTGATAAGAGAACTTTGTTTTGTCACAGCGATGGCACACGGGATGGGAAGACTGAATTGGAGCGAGCGAGTAGGAAATTCAATTTTTGATGACAAATGACATGAAGAGGCCGCGTGGTGGAGCCGAGGGGGCTCCAACATGTGTTAATGGTCCGTAGAGCTACATTACCGTTGTCATCCTCTTCCTCATCACCTGCCTCCTCTTTACCTGCAAGAGGAGGGAAAAGCAATCATCAGGCAACAAGGCGCGCACGAGCGGGAATAATGTCAGTCATTCACCCCCAAAAAAACCCCGAGCCAGCAGTCACACTAATGATCACACAACGCTTCATCTCAAGGCAAAGGATTCATCTCGTTTGAAGTGGGAACTGAAATTTAGAAAGGGAAACTTTATGTCTGACTTTCACAATATGTCGTTACAAAGAGGGTTGAAAAAGAGGTTCTGTCTTTTCTTTAAGATTTCTTGTTAAGAAATCGACGGCTGCAGCTGCTAATGAAACTTTAAAGACTCTTTTTTAGTTATCAATATAAAAGTAAACGTGTTAGCTTCGTCAGCCTTATGCATAGAAACCTGTGCTTCAGTGACTGATTGATTAGATTAGATTAGATGAATGAATCATGCATAAATAATATTCCCATAATTGTAGCTAGCTTAACTATGCTAGCTGTTCTCTCAGGCTGTTATTTAGCACAGGATAGCTAACAGCTAAATGCTACCTCCAAAGACGAACATGCAAACAGTGACAATGCTCACTCGCTGCAGGCTAATAGTAGCCCTTACAGTTTTGTTCTGCACTCCTACTGTTGTTTTAAAATGTATTAGCATGCTAACATCAGCTAACATGAGCTAACATGAGCTAGCATCTAGCATGTGCTAACATGAGTTGAGACAGAGTACAGCTGTGGCTCAAGGGCATGTCAATACTTCGCCAGATATTCTATCAGTGTTTAGACTCTTGACTTTTATAACAAACATCAGTGTCAGTATTTAACTAGGTTTCACATATTGCCACTTAAAGGCGGGAAACTTTTTTTTCCCTGTTAAGCCTCATCCGCCATGTGCAAAGTACGCAGTGGTGATTCTAGAGTCTGGTGGAGCCCGAGGCAAAAAGAGACGTTGAAAAAGGGATTCTTCCTCTATCTTTATCTTTGCTGACTTTCATTGAAAAACTTTGTATTTCACAGCAATAAGGCATGCAACGCTTAGCAGGCCAACGACAGTGAGTGCTGTGAGATGGGGCCCCCTTAGGGAGGTTTCCTACTGTTGTTAAAAACGTTGCACATTTTGGGACACTGCTTCAGTTTAAGTCTGTGCGCTCTCAGGGGCCCCCATGCTGGTCAGGGGACCCGAGCCTGTTGACAAGCAACACCTCTGAACGTATGCAGGCAGAATGGTGGGACAAAGTCATCCCGCCCCTGAACCGCCATCGGAGGTAGCAACAGAGACCAAACCTGAGGAACAATATTGCACCAATGTGGATACAAACAAAGGCTTCTAACGCAGAGGATCTCTGTTAAGGCGCTGACGCTGAATCACAGTCAGTAAAGGGCTTTAGATGATATGAGACGAGATGCTTTTTCATGCATATTTCACACAAACATCATCCGTGAGGAATCTGCTTTCTAATCGTATAGTGAGACTGTTTCTGAGCTGAAGACGCTCGCTGTAACATAATCAGCCCGACGGTCCTCCGCCTGAACAACACCTCCTTTATGAAACACAAAAGAGAGATTTGAGTGGTGACATAAAACACCTTTAATCCCTACATTATATCTGTTACCCCCCACCCACCCACCCTCCTCACCCCCATTGTCTGGCTCTCACACATTCTTGTACGCACACACACACACACACACACACACACACACACACACACACCATAAACCAATGACATTTGGGACAAATTGACTAAATGAAAGCCATGACACCAATAAGAGAACATGCTCCACAATGGCCATTGTGCAGCTTCTATAATTGCTTTTTTAACAAGCTGTGTGGAGAGAAACCATTTTTTCATATCTATGCAATTTTGCCCTGCGCCCACAACAATAAAAATGCCATCCTCTATTAAACGGGGGAAAAGGCCAGCTTCTACCAGCACTGCTTGTTTGTGTCGAGTGCTCCTGTCCGTCACGCAGAATGCTGGTGACACACAGAAGATGGCAATCCTTTCTATTAATCATGACTGGCATTTTGAGATGGAGACATGGACGGGGGGCTGAAAGAGGATACTTCAACGGGGGAAAAGCAGGTTAAGATGAATGCCTCTCCCGACTATAAGGTCATCTTTAACTTTAATTCTGCATTTTAAAATCATGCAGACTTGTCTAAAGTGATCCCAAACTACAATCTATCAGATAGGACAAAGGGCTGGATGTAATTTCCTCCCTTTTATTTGATCATTCATGTTTGGCTTATCGAACACAGCAGTATTCAATTTGTGGCTAAAGGACACATTGCAAGGAAACAATAAGACCACACACACACACACACACACACACACACAAACACACACTAGACAACAAAAGAGTCTATGTAGGGCAGATTTGATTTACAATGGCTGCAAGTTAAGTGCAATTAGAGCACTGTCTGTGCACCAAGAGAGCACCTCCATCACTCGTGTCCTCCCAACAGCAGGTGGCAGCATTGTTACAGCGTTCGGCCCCCGTGATGCTCACGGCACTAAAGAGTGTCTTCTCTGAGAATCAGGGCCTGTCACACTTCACACAGCAAAGGCTGCATGCCAAAGACTTTTAGTGTCAATATTCCCATGGATTCCACTCTCAGAAAAGATGGCGACTAAAAGGCAATTTTCGGCACTCGTCTGCACTCGTGTTGAATGAGGGGCATGGCCGTAGTGTTCACACACACTTAGATGATTTATTTATGTCAACATGAGATCCAAACGGGGGGGGGGGGGTACAGTATCTCAAGGACATAAAGAATTTAGATGCTGATATGCAACCTTTCCCTGCGTGTGCTATATGCATGACCCCGAAGTAAACATCGACTGCGGAGGATATTTCAGAGAAAGTAAAAGTGAACTCCAGCTCTGTCTCCTCACCCCCAAACGCCGTCTCCTTTCACTTCCATTAAAGCCAACCGGACCAAAGCACCAAAAAGAAGAAGAAGAAAAAAAAGGGCGGGAGTTGAAAAATTCATGAGACATGTGTAAAAGAAAAAAAGAAAAAGGGGCTCTGAGATGACCGGCGGCGATCATTCAAAGCATGTCAATGTGTGTGTGCAAGCAAAGTGCTCGTGTGTCTGAAAGTGAGGCTGGATGGGGGCGCTGTGGTGTAAAAAGGGGAGTGGGGGGGGGCGTCACATGGAGAGGCTTACTGTCCGTCCACACATGAGGTTATTCATCTGTGTGTCGATCTGTTTTTTTTTGGGAAAACTCAAGCGGGCGAGCCAGGCATCGATTTCTGCCTCGATGTTCACATTTTACCGCGCCCTGTGACATCCGCTAATCTCACTAAAACCAACCTCGATATCAAATAACAGACACACGGCGCTTGCCAAGTCAGGTGTGCTTTAAAGAGGGCTGCACTCTGCCCTGGACCTCTGTGCCAGCCGTCGCCTCTCTGCTCCACCCCCCTCTTCTCCCCGCTCTGTGTCTCTTTTTCTTTAGCTCGCAGCATCCGCACACTGTGCTTCTGTTTCATGTGGATTACATCACAGCATCGCTCACACACACACACACACACACACACACACACACACACACACACACACACACACACACACACACACACACACACACACACACACACACACACACACACACACACACACACACACATAAACACACACACTGTTAATCTGTGACCCCCTTTTGCAAACACACTTCAGGGTTATTTGTACTTGATGAGGGATCGTGTGGTGGCTTCTTTTGAAGAATCACTGCTCATCATATCCAAACAAGTCCCCTGTTGCGTTGGTCTTTAAATAAAAGTCATTAGAATAAAAATGTGTACGGCGCTTTAACGTTAAAAAAAGGTTTACAGAAGGAGGACACTTAGGAGGAATTTATGAGACGGGGGAAAGCTTTGAAAGGAACACAAGGAAAACAAATAAATGGGAAGTCGAGATTTTAGAAGCAGGGAGAGATTAAAAAGAAAAGTCTAAAACTAAAGAAACAGTCGTGTATGTGTGATGTCTGATGGACAAAATAAGACGTTTTAAGGCTTCTTATTTGAAAGGGACTTCATTTTATCACAATGTTTAAATTAAAATATCATATTATATTAAAATATAATTCATAAAAATTGACTAAACCCATTATATATATATATTTTCCTGTTGAGTTCTTACATCACCTCAAATATTTCCAACAGTTATCAAAGCCAGATAAATCCTTCATTTTATTGTGTAACATGTCGTGTTTAGTCGAGGTGGCCACCATGACAGACAGAATATTTATCGTTGTCGTGGAAACATCGGATGTTTCGTCAAAGGTCGCTGCATAAGTGATAAAAAACATCATGTACATTATACTCGGATACATCAGCTCATCTGTAAACATATTCTCTTCCTCAGGTCGGTTTCACCCGGTCGTCATGACTACAGTCAAAGCAGTTTATTTCAGGATTTCCCATCAGCCTCACTGTTATCTTTTCGTCATTGTGTTGATTGAGAGCCCCCTGGAGGTGGAGTTTACACACTGTGCCTTTAAACGTCTTTTCAAGGTCCCGGGCAGATCGACCTGACATGGATGTTGACATCACAGTAAGTTACCGCTTACTGCACATGTTTGTGTCATTTGTTTGCCTTCGTCTTGTTTTTCTCCTTTTTATTCCAGCGGAGGCTAAAGAAGGATTTTTTTTCTGAAAACACTTAAAGTAGCATTTTGTGGGAGTCTGATAATCACCCTCGGTCACACTAACGCGTGCATTCATCATGAAAAAAACAGAGTGAAGAAAGCCTTAATGTTTTCTCTTCATCAGTGCTGTGGCTAAAAGCTCCCCTCATGCCGACCCGAGGACTGAGGGGCGAGTGAGTCCCCCCCCCCGAGGAGTGTGATGGATGTGATGGATCACACCGGGGCCATATTGACAAGACGCACTCCACCGCTACCTCTGCTGCAGCTGAGTGTAATTTATTCGAAAAAAAAAAGTGCTCCACATATTGACTCCAGCAAATAGGTGACCTGCTTTGCTGGCAGTATAGACAGGAGGCTGAAATAAAGACGTGCTATTGTGGAAGGAAAATCTCAACACACACAAGTGCACGGGAGACGGAGAGAGGTGGATCTCGACTCGTCTCGTCTCACATCGCTGACAGGTTGTTTGTGCCGCTCGCATTTCCTCCACTCGCTGCTATCGTGACATCTGAGTGTTTCCTATGATTAATCCTTCCCATGTGCTACATCGAACCAGACCTAACCTTTACAGTGCAGGCGGCACAAAATCATTTCTTTCCCCTTTCCTGCGAGAGAGAGGTTGTCTCAAGGACTGAGTGTTCCCATGCTGGAAAGCTGTGCCAAGGCCTTTTGTGCATGGATTAGTTACTATTAAGCTGCCGGGCCTGATAAATTAGGATTTATAAAGATTATTACAGAATGCTTATGCCCTCCTAATGCTGCTGATTGAATTTGTGAATCATATTGAATTACTGCTGTGGATTATATAAAAAAAAAAAAGGTACGTTGAATAAGACGGGGGAAGAAATGACTTATTGTGGCGCGTTTAAAGGCTACAGGAAACATCGACGCCCTTGAAGTGTTTGTGCTTCAGCCGCCCGCGTTCACAGAGAGGAACCGACACCCCCCCCCCCCCCGAAGACAACAACCATGCCTGCTGCTATCTTCAAACATTCCCGCAGCAACCTTAAAGGCTTGAAGACAAATGGATGGTGTACCATTTTAATTGCCTACTAACGCCCTGCAGTGCGAGAATCTAATTATCTTTGGTCCATCGTATCGGAGAAGCCTATAACTGTTTCAATATTACACATCCGAAGGGGCTGAAACGGCAGAATAGCCAGATAATGGCTTCTTAAACAAGTTTGCCTCTAAGAAAACATTCTTTTAAAAAAAAAAAAGAGCCAGCTTCATCTTGTATTCATTTCCCCAAAGAGGAAGCTTGGCAACGAGAGAGAGCAGGAGATTACTGACCAAGTACACACTCCATTACTTTGTACACACAACACAGATTCTTATGCTAACACACATCGACGGACACTGTTTCCTCTGCTGGAACCAAACATGCAGTCAATATTAATCGAATTAGGTACAAAACAAACACACATGCATGCAAATCATACGCCGACTGTGAGGACAACGCGGCTCAACCACCTCTCGCTGCAGAAACATCAGAGACCCATCGAGTGGCTTAATCACCGATACTAATGTTTGAAAAAAACAATTTACCCGATGTTGGTTTTTCATGACTTCTTTTACAACATTTTCTCTCATGTTTGTCAAACAGGTGACTTCCTCTTCTTCTCTGAATCAGGAGATTGGTGCGCACGATTACAGCATTAAATAGTAATGACCCAACAGACACATGTCGGCTGCAGATATCAGATCATTGGTAAAATAATACAGCATGAACCCGATGTCTGTAACCAGGGCTGATATCTTCCCGGTTGAACTTATGACCCTAAAATATCCACCGACGGGGCACCGGCATGTTGCACATTAGGAACCAGAGTCTGCAGGATACTGTAAGCATCAGCTGGAAGAGCCGCATTAAGGCCCCCTTCGCTAACAAAAACACAAAATACTTCATTTTCTGATAAAAAAGGCAAAATCCCTCAGGTGGGTTCAGTCCAGAGCAGAACAGATTCTTGGGAGGGTAAACACTTAGTAAAAGGCCCGTTAGCTGCTCTATGGTCATAATAATGTACTAATAAGTGCTTAATAATGACTTATTAGCAGCTATATGCTACTAATTAGCATGCTAATAAGCAACTAGTTAATGGTGAATATTGTGACCTTAATTTAAAGTGTTACTGATTAAGACTCACGTAGCTCCCTCTCTGTCGGGCACAGCCTTAAGACGCCCTGGAAACCCCACCCACTGGTGCTGTGGTGGTTAAATCCACCCACGGTCGCTACAGTTCAACGCTACATTCATTTAGTAGGATATTTGTCAGTTGAAAAATGTGGCTCCTCGCAACGTTCTCAACTTGATAATCAGAGTAGAGGAAGAAAGGCGAGAAAAAATGTAACAAAAAACTAACAATACAGTCAAAAAACTTTCCATCAACTTGAGTGTCTGCTCTAAAAAGACACAAAAACCTGTTCTGCTCTGGACTCTGCTCACCTGAGGGAATTTTTTTAAAGATTTATTTGGGGCTTTTATAAACCTTTATTTGATGGGACAGTCGATGGAGTAGGAAACTGTGGCGAGAGAAAGAGAGGGGGGAATGACATGCAGAAAGGTAGCCACAGGTCAGACTTGGTCACCAGCTTGGAGGTTTTAAGCCACTGACATGGGGCGCGACCTCACCTCCAGGTCATCTGCGCCCCCACCTGAAGGGTTTTTGATGTTACTGTCAAGATATATTAGCGGATTCCACCAGCCGGCTTTCCTCTGGGTATTTTGGCTTCAACTCATGTCATGGAAGAAGACGGAGACGCGCTGTCTATTTTAATATACAGTCAGTGTGACCTATACTGCAGCCAGTCAGCAGGGGGAGCTCTAACTACTTTGGCTTCCTTTAAGGTGAGGTGTTGATTCTTTTAGTCTACGATGCAAACACTCCCAAACAGGCCTTACCTCTGCCGCTCTCCTCGCTGTCCTCCTTGGATTTTGCAGACGGAGGATTGTTATCTGTAATGAAACAAGAAATAAACTGTGATTTATAGACGTGGGCGGGGCACATCGTTATCCCCCCAAACAGCATCAGGACACTCGGGGCGTTACATCTTGTCAAACTGAACAGTTATATGAGATGATGGCGAGAGTAATGATGACGTTTTTTGGCGAGCCCAAACTCATCGGAGCGGTGATTATTTCTCGCTCGGCCTCCGGGAGAACTCAGTGCTGTTTTTGTTTTATACCTGCATGACAAAAAAAAAAAAAAAAAAAAACGACTCATGTGGGAGCGCAGGGGAAGAATGCGAGGCTTTGAGACCAACTCCAGAGCTCAGCGCAGGGACAAAAGCGACCATTCCATGAGAGAATAGCAGACACATTCGGACCTTTGAATGGGCTCCAAGCTGCGCTGATTCAAACTCAAAGCTGATGGAGCAGAATGAAAGGCCGGTTCTTGGCTCTGGTTGCTGAAGCCCATCAAACAAGGCCAAACTGGACCAGGACAGGGCTGGCATGATGATACAACAGAGCTAGGAATTATCAGGGGTTATTTCCTTTTTGGCTCGACCTGCTCTGGTTCTGTTATTATACAGTATGCAGCTCACACACAGATCCTCCCTCCACGTCTTTATGATTCAAACATTACGTGCACATTCAGGAATATCACATTTTACAGTGCACTTATAAAACCGCCCTTTTATGTCCCCCTCCCCCGTCCCCCGCCGTGGACTCTCATTGAAAACACAGATGCGTGTAATTGGCAAATCATGGGGGTGACTTTAGGGAGGAAAAACATTTTGATAGCACCCTGAGGTTCAACATCTGCAGAGAACACTTTCAAGACAAGACGCTTAAACTAACATTGATTTCTGCTTAGGTGGTTGCACGTGTTCGATTGCATGACGTCTTCATGGGACAGTAGAAAAACCCCCCGATCTGTGCCGCAGAAAACTCGCCAACAGGTGCTTTTTTTAAGACCTGCTGTTCCTTGGAGAACATTTCTAGAGGATTTATATTTCACATTTTGTCTGTCCAGTGAGTCAAAAAAAGTTACCACATAAATCTTCTCCTGTTCACCTCGCCTTGACCTCCATGGGAAATTTAAAGTCTTTATATGTGATGTTTTGATCCAGCAGATGTCACCCTTGAGCTCCAGCATGAAACCAAAACAACTCGTGCTGCATTGTTGTGTTAGCATGCTAATGCTAGTGATCTTTATTATGCTGGTATCTTCACACTGCATGTAAATTTACCTGAAATGAGCGTGATCTAGAAACACAGTTAAGCAGTGAGTACAGTATGTTATTCTTCTTTTCTCTAGTCCCTCAATTAAACAACTTTTATACACGAGGGGAGGAGTCAGCCGGCTGTCCGGGCGATGTAAACAAAGTGAAGATAGGACTCTGAAAACTCTGAAAACATCACAGATAGTGGGACTCGGGTGTTACACCCATTGTAGACAGTCATGACTCACAGAGTTATTTTCAGAGGATAGACTTGATTTATATTATATTGTGTGAAAAATCACATATAAAGACTTTAAAGGAGCAATATGTAATGACACCTAGTGTTTAAAAACTGGTTCTGCGGTTGACTTCCTAGAGGCTAGAGGAGATACTTAAGGAGGCAGTGAAGCTCCTTTCCTTATTATCTGAACAGCTCTTATCATGGCCGACGCTCACACACTTCCAGGTCATCTCATTCAGCGAGGAACCAAACCGGAGAGTTCGACCTCAGCCCAGAATGAACCGCTGCTAAACTCTGTCCCCGCTATTCAAACAACACACACAATTCTGAGAGGCTGCCGCTCGTGCCATTGCTTATTCAGGACATCAGCGCACAGACAAATGTCAATAGTTGATCCTGATAAGCAGTATCTGGGAGTTTCAGGCCGCGTGCCAAATAAAAGCATTATGCGCTGACAGTCTGTGTTTGTGTGCTATCACCTGGCGCGTGCTGCCGAGGGATGTTGCTCGGCTGTTTCTTTTTGTCACCCGCTTTAGGGTGGTCTTAAAGGCATTGTGCGTGTAAACCGGATGAAGAGAATGGAGTTGGGAATTAGCCGTGGATATAAGCTCTTGTAAAGTAATGTACCTGATGTGAAGTATTTTTAACCACCGCGTGTCAGAGCCACCATTCAACTTGTCACCAGATGAATAAACATTCAATTTCATCCGCCGCATAAAAAAGCCTGCAAATCACTGTCAGCGGATGACGCTGTGTGTGTGTGTGTGTGTGTGTGTGTGCTCTAATGGAGGTGTTAAGAAGGAAAGGCAGCCATGAAATAGTCTGTCACTCACCTCCCTGCAGCTGCTCCTCTGTAACCTCCATGTCATTGTCTGCAGGGGGAGAGAAAGACAGCCAGTCAAACTATGCTACTTCATAATGCACAATACTGCAAGTCATCACGCCGGGGCTTCTGGATTATTCTGTGGGAGCGAAACATAGTTAACGACATGATTCTAAAACAGCCAACAACATTGTGTTCTCAGAATTGCATCGTAAATCATCGAGTCGTGGAAGTAGCCTCTGGTTTAAAAAGGGTAGCAAAAGAAGAAGTGCCTTAAAGCTGCTTTATTTGAATGGCCAGCAGGGGGCGTTTTTACTTAATGTGAAAATTACAGATTGTTAGGAACTAAGGTGTTATCATAAGAAAAAAACTAACAAAATAACAAAGAGTAATGTAAAAAGCAACTTTGTGAACTGAAACTAAAATCTAAATGATGCTTTACCAAAAACAATGACGAACTGAATCGGTATTGTGAGTTTACAAAAGGCAGATAAATTACACTAATAAAATCTTAAAGGAGTAATATGTAACTTTGACCCCTAGTGTTTAAAATGGGTACTGCAGTCTAAATTCTAAACATTGTAGAGAGCTGTCTCCCCCCCTCTAGAGTGGATATTCACTCAGGTCACCATGTGGTGGACTCTGAAGCTTCAGTGTTTATCCAGCTCTGTATGGGTCTGTAAACCTTTCTGTGTTCTAACCTCTCTCCATTTTTCAAAAGCATCTCCAATATTGATCCTAGTTTGAGCACGTTTCTGCCCGTGGAGCTTATTAGAAACATGCAGAGGCTTTTTAGGTCAGTTTTAGGTAAATTGTGGTCGACATTAAAAGTTAAATTAATAATGATATCTATGACGGATAAGTTGCCAACACAGTCAGCCGGGAAAGGGAGGAAACAATTCATATCCTGTTTCTGAGTGATGATGCCAAATTGGAAATGCTGACTATATCAAACTTATGGTTAACCTAACGACAGGCAAAGAGTATAGTGCTGGCCTTAAGCCTCCTGACAAACCGTTAAATCGAGGGAGGCTTGCAGTCAGATTGATCACGCCCCTTATTATGCATAACTTGTATCCTTTATATAAACAAAACAGGTAAGGAAAAAGATTGCTCATATTGCGGTTGATGCAAAAGACATTAACCAATCAGACCAAAATCTTATTTTGAACCAGGATGTAAACATAAACATCTCTGCTGTAAAAATGGACATTTTAATGAGTGTGGAAGAGAACTTCTGGGTCTTTTGGAGCCGGCCTCACGTGGACACTGGTGGAACTGCAGGTTTTTGCACTTAAGCATTGGCTTCATTTTTTAACACCAGAGGTTGCCGTTTGTCACTTCTATTAAAAAAAAAAAAGACATGATAGCAACAGCCTAAAAAAAAGCCAAACTCAAGGTTTAGAAGGAGGTGTTCAAAAACAAATCTGTAGTCAGGGTTTCTGCTTCAGCTTCTTTGAAAGTGAAATATGATTCTTTTGGGAGAGAAAAGAAAACCTCTCTCTTTTGCATGTCAAAAGCCGGCTTATCCTCCTCCTTGTTTTTTCAGCGTTTACCAAGCTCCAAAAAATCTTAACAACAACCTTCACAGCCTCTCTGCAGCTCCTCACCAGACGGCCTTGGATCTTTGGGAGTTATCTCCCCCCAAATTACTGCCTATATGTGCGCTCAAATTCACCAGACATTCGTTTTCAATTAAATCCACACTGGTATGGCTCAGCATAAATGACACAAAAAAAAACTCCCATTTCCTCAAATTACACGGACTGCAGGCTGGGCTGGACAACAGCGCCTTACAAAAAAAATCCCTTTGATTTCCTCATGTCTCTGTACTTCTTTTGTGCGAGACAGACTGAGTGAAGTGGAGGTGTTTCTGGGTGGATGAGTCGAGCTGCGCGGGGGGGGGGGGGGGGGGGGGATGAGACGGCGGAGCTGCAGAGTGAGAGATGGAGAGAGAGAGGAACTGTTGATGCCTGATCTCGGATCACACACAAACACACTCGTGCATGCAGCTGCTTTGACTCTCTCTCTCTGTATACATACATAAAGTCCGTCTATTATTGTGTTGTAATGCGCAGAGTTCACATGAATGAAACGTGTGTGAGATGAATAAGTGTGTAAGGCCGTGCATGAGAGTGAGGAATGATTGCGCCGCAGTTAACAAGGAAAAGCTAGTGTTAGCTTTGATGAAAGGCTGTTGTCATCTGTTCTGTGGAAATGTAACCATCATCGCTCCCTGTGGAGGCAGCGACAGACTTTTCTTTTGTACAACACTGAATCTAAGGGAGCAGAGCATTAATCTCACCCTGCTTGGGGGAAACAAAGGAAGGCCCTCGGATACAGAATAACAATAGTGCGAGGATGGAAACATAGGTTGTCTTAGCTTCTCTAACCTGCTCTGAGATTATTATTACAGCCCAGCCATGCGGTCATGCAGGGGGCGTTTTGACAGCAGACACTTTACTCGTTTCTGACTCTCTTTTAAGGGCTGATTCTCTGAAGGGATACAAACCAGATGTTGATCATTTGGATTAATTCATTCCACATATTGATCCTTACATTAAACTCTTGAAAGAAACATTCCTCTACATGATGTTTTCAGTTAATCCTGGACGACTCATCGATGTGTTTTATCACTTAACGTTCTACTTTTCGCTTTAACAAACAAGATATAAATTGTATGATGTTCATGTGTGAGATTTCAAGAGGAGCTTTTACTGCCAATTTCCACAGAGTCGGTGCACGCTGTGGTCCGTAGTCATGTTTCCACAGCACGCTCTGCAGTCCGTCTGCAGAGCTCTGCTCCAGTCCATTTTTCAACGGAACATGATGGACAGAATAGAACGACCCAGACAGGAAGTCAGACAAGGAAATGCACAGAGCGTCCGGCCAATTTCAAAATAAAAGACAACATACAGACTCCTGATCGTATTTTCCATCACTTTATCAACATGACGTCAAAACAGAATGAACAACAAATCATCCTCAGAAAGACAAAGCAACATGTTGTTTGCATGGTTTTATCTTTATTCCCACGTGATCTTGTAGTTCTCCTGTGATCTTGTAGTTTTCCTGTGATCTTGTAGTTCTCCTGTGATCTTGTAGTTCTCTTGTGATCTTGTAGTTCTCCTGTGATCTTGTAGTTCTCCTGTGATCTTGTAGTTCTCTTGTGATCTTGTAGTTCTCCTGAGATCTTGTAGTTCTCTTGTGATCTTGTAGTTCTCCTGTGATCTTGTAGTTCTCTTGTGATCTTGTAGTTCTCCTGAGATCTTGTAGTTCTCTTGTGATCTTGTAGTTCTCCTGAGATCTTGTAGTTCTCTTGTGATCTTGTAGTTCTCCTGAGATCTTGTAGTTCTCCTGTGATCTTGTAGTTCTCCTGAGATCTTGTAGTTCTCCTGTGATCTTGTAGTTCTCTTGTGATCTTGTAGTTCTCCTGTGATCTTGTAGTTTTCCTGTGATCTTGTAGTTCTCCTGTGATCTTGTAGTTCTCTTGTGATATTGTAGTTCTCCTGTGATCTTGTAGTTCTCCTGAGATCTTGTAGTTCTCTTGTGATCTTGTAGTTCTCCTGAGATCCTGTAGTTCTCTTGTGATCTTGTAGTTCTCCTGAGATCTTGTAGTTCTCCTGTGATCTTGTAGTTCTCTTGTGATCTTGTAGTTCTCCTGAGATCTTGTAGTTCTCTTGTGATCTTGTAGTTCTCCTGAGATCTTGTAGTTCTCCTGTGATCTTGTAGTTCTCTTGTGATCTTGTAGTTCTCCTGTGATCTTGTAGTTCTCTTGTGATCTTGTAGTTCTCTTGTGATCTTGTAGTCCTCTTGTGATCTTGTAGTTCTCTTCTGATCTTGTATTTCTCCTGTGATCTTGTAGTTTTCCTGTGATGTTATAATTCTCCTGTGATCTTGTGAACCTGTGTGTACATCTTCTCATGGCTGCCTCATGCAGAGGCGCTGACAGAACACAGGACGCAGGAATTATGAGGAAATTGTAAATCTTGATGCTAAACTAAGCTAGCTTGGCGTTGGGGGTTGAGGGATGATTTCAGGGCGGAGCTCCATGTTGGATTATAAGGCATACACTGAAATGTATTAAAGTTCTTCACCTAAACCATGTCCAGCCAATACTGTACATGTTGATAAGCAGGAAGTCAGGAGCAGCGTTTGTGTACCTCCTACATGTCTGCGTTTTCAACCCGAACATGTGAAAAATCACGTGATGAGCTAAACCGGATCCTCGACTAAAGCTGACGGAGAGTCTGTGAGCCATCTGACCGTCACATCGCTAACACACCGTGCTCTCCTCATTTCCCTGCCCCCCCGGTGGGAATGCCACACTGACTTCATTTTCACCCCTCACAGGATTCCTGCGGCTGTTTCCACAAATGACATGTGTGTGTTTGTGTGATAGCAGCGTGTGCATACCATCGCTGTGCTTCTTCCAAAGCAGCGGGGGATCAGGAGGAGATGCTTCTGGGGAGGATCTTTGGGGGCCGGTGTGTGTGTGGAGAGTTTAAGGAGCCATGTAAATAAATGTGAAAGTGAAAGTGAAGCGGTCGGAGAGGACGCGGCGCCCTGCACAGATCTGTGGGCTGTGTTAATGTTGTCAGCACTGCAGCTGATTGAGGAGGAGAAGAGACGGAGCCCCGGCTTGTGGGCAGCCGTCCGGATCATATTAGTGGTGGAGTCTACACAGAATCAATCCCAACATGCTTTTTTACTCCCTTCAACCGCAGCCGGCTGACTGCTTCCACGCTCGCAAATAATATGTGGCAGGGCAAGCGTGCGGTCAATCACGATCTATGAGCCAATCAGAATACTTAATGGAATCATGTCCTATGATTAATGGCATTGATTATACGTTAATCAATTGATGGTTATACTTACTATACATTACAGAAATGTGACTTTCTGGTCGCCTGGTTTAGGTTTGTGCAAACACTGATGGTTCTTTTGTGCAGATATTGAGACTGCTAAAGCACCTTAGACAGAGTGGGAGCGTGCCTATGTTCCCACATTTCCTTTTTTCATAAATTTGTATCAGATTTTTTCCCCCTT